GTTCTCAACCCATGGGTTGCAACCCTTTCACAGGGGTTGCCTGATTCATAACAGTAGCAAAATGACACTTATGAAGTAGCAATGAAAATGATTTTATGGTTGGGGGTCACCACCACATGAGGAACTGTATGACAGGGTGGCGGCATTCAGAAGGTTGAGAACCCCTGCTTTAGAACCTGCCTTCTTGTGGAAGTTCAGCAAGCTATCCCTGGTTTAAGTTTGACTGACAGTCGCTCAAAAAACTAGGGCCGGCTGTTCTCTGCCCAGTCCCCAGGCTTTCAGGAGTGTGTGGGCGGGGGAGTGTCCTGTCGGAGAGCACTAGGACCCCCAGACCACCTGCAGGAAAATAGACTGATGGCCCATCAGGGTGCATTGTCTGTTTCCCAATCCTTGGCGGAAACCAGAGAAAACTCTACCCCACTTTGGTCTACAAGCCATGGAGTCAAGTCTAACTCGAAGTGACCACATGGGTGTCCAGAGGGTGTTCAGTGGCTGGCCCTTCAGAAGTAGACCACCCGGACTTTCTTCTGCAGAGTCTCTGGGTGGACTTGAACTGCTGGCTCCTGGGTTAGTGAGCCGTTTGTGCCACCTACCGACTCCTGCTTCAAGGAGCCCGCCTTGGTATAGTGGTGATGCATTGGACTGCTAACCAACCTCAAGGTTGGCAGTTCAAAACCACCTGCCACTCTGGGGGAGAAAGAAGAGGCATTCTGGTCCCATCAAGAGTTACAGTCTCAGAAACCCACACGGGCAGTTTAACCCTGGTCTAGAGGGTCACTGTGGGTCAGAATGGACTCAATGGCCCTGAGAGGGACACTGCTTTAGCCAGGAGGGAGATGTTTTGTGCACTGGTTTCCAAGAATCTGAACCAACGGGAGCGGCTCTCCTTGCGAATGCAGACAGGCTGAGGACGTACCCCATTCACCCACTGTCCACATTGCATTCTCGGGACTCAGGAGGGGGCACTGGCTAGCCCCCTCCAACTTCCAAATAAAAACAATGACAGCTCTCTACAGAGACCCCTAAGATGACCGGGGCTCGCCTCCACCGTGAGTCCTGTGTGGAAAGGATTTTGTTTTCCTTTTCCCTGAGTAGCATCTTCAAACATAAGGGAAGTCGGAAGGGTCCTCCCTGGCTGACCCTGAGAAACAACCGACCTGGCTTACCCAACCCTCCCGAAAAGGGAACCCAAAGCCATGCGCTTCTTTGTTAAGGTGCGCCTGTCTCTCACCGAAGGTCAGCGCGGCGTGCATGGGATTTTAGAGCAAAAGGGAAGTTTAGAAATCGCAGTCCAACCGTCCCTTTTCAGAGAGAGGAAAACCAAGCCCCTGGTGGCCGGCAGAAGGGGTCAAGTTCAAGGTCTCCCAAATCAGACTCAACCTCCTGGGAACCGACACATCCTAGGGCTGTTTATCTGGCTCGCCCTGGACTTCAGCATACGGGACCCTGCCTAGATGCCACCCCCTACCAAAGCCCCAACTGAGATTCTGCCTCAGGGCCGGGGGACGGTCTATCAGGATTGGGGGTTTATGAGGAGATGTTAACAGCAGCCCTCTTTCCGGAGGCCTGATACCATCAGGGCCTCTGTTTTATGAAGAAATCTTAGGTTTCTTTCACAATCTCTGCTCTTACTGTCTCCGATGGTTTCATGCGAATCAAATGGAGAGGTTGTTAATTAACTGCAGTATAGGTGATCAGTTCCCCTTTTTTTTTAATAGCTGACAGAGGCCAAAAGGAAGTTCATTGGCTATCTGTGTGCTGAAGGTCTTACCCATGGGCTTGGCTGAGAGAACCTCCTGGGGCAGGAAGAAAGAGGGGATTCGAGGTTCAGGGAGATGGTTAGAGGAGGCCCTGATAATCACCTGCCTCCACCCGGGGCACCCTGGAAATAGGATGCGCTTGTCTGCATTTCAAATCATTTGACCTCCGGGCTCTCCTCCTCTTCTGGGCTTCAGAGGAGACCATCACATCCTGAACCCCATTCTCCGGCCCACACCTCCACCTGGAACGCTCCAGGAACAGATGTGGGACCTCGATCATCTAGTCCCGTTGCCCCAGCACAAGGGAGAGACGAGACTGTCTATTTCTGTGAAGAGTTCGTCGGGGAAGCCCACAGGGGCAGTTCTACCCTGTCCCCTTTTATCAGGTACTCCTGAGGCTCAGGGGCATGGGTGCAGGGTCCCACACCTGCCAGCCCATAGGCCCTCAGAGTCAGCGTGGACTCCACGGCAGGGAGACTGGTTGTTTATTTGGCTGGTTGGTTGGTTGCCCCAGCAATTAGCCTTCTTTCCCTTTCTGCTCTGGCTGCGTTCCCCATTAGTTCCCCGGGGGTTGAGAGGACCGCAAGAGGTAATGGGCTAGGCATCAAAGATGCACTGGTAAGGTGGAACCTGCTTCTCTAAGCCTGTTTCTCACCTGTAACCCAGAGGACAATGCCTGCTCACCTCGCCCTGGTGTGCCTTCAGGGACAACATGTACACCAAGGGGCTTGAAATACTGTCCTGCCTTCCTCCTGCCCCCACCAGTTCCCTGCTGGGAAAATGCCCGTGAGAGGCAGAGTCTGCCCTGAATAAACACCCAGCCTATGGGCTGGCAGGGGTGGGACCCTGCACCCATGCCCCTGAGCCTCAGGAGTACCTGATAAAAGGGGACAGCAGTGGGACCCACCTCCTAGAGTACAGGAGCTGAGGCGAAATAGGTCCTGACTGTAAAAAGCATTTCCCAGCATTCTGTGGCGGCTGCTTTCACTCGTAGCTTTGGTGCTGGGTGCTTTACTATTAAAATGCTAGGTGTAAGAATTAAAAACACAAACAAATAAAGGGTGAGGGGACACATAGTCCTCAGCTCATGGGGTTCCCCTCCCACCCCATCCAGGGTTTGGCCTCCCCGGGGGGTTTCCTGCAGAGAAGAGGTAGAGGAGGGAAGGTGGGGGGTGTTGGGAGCCCTGTGGGGGAGGGAGAGGAGCAGAGGAGGCTGACTGACTGCCCTTAGGAGATAAGACCGCCTTGTAAGCTTTGGTGGGGAGCAGGGGAGAGCAGAGCTGAGAATCTGACAGCCCATTGGAATGGCCCTCAGAGGTCTTCCAGCCGCACCCTCTCACTCCAGGGCCCAGAGAGAGAAGTCTTGGGTGCGGTGGCTTGGGGCCAGGTAGTCTGACCCCCTAGGGCGTGTCCTTCCTCCATCCAGGCTGCCTCCTTCGCTGTCTTTGTGCCTGGCTGCTCCCGGGAAAGGCCAGCGGACAGTTCCAGGCCTTCAGAGCCCGCTCTGAAAAGTTAGCGTGGAACCCCCCCACCTCCCCCGTGGAGCCCAGTTGAACTCTGACCCAGCACGGGGTAGCCATGGGTTGGAGCCCACTGGTGACTCGGGTGTTGTGGGCTGGTAGGTCCTGGGATGAGACTGGGCCACTACACGGGGAGCTGCCCCCCAGAAGTTCTCAACCTCGGGCACAGTCTGCCCCGGGCTGGGTGCTCACTGGGGCCCAGGCACCAGGCCCAGAGCACTTTACATACGGGGTCGTAATCAGCAAAGGAGGGCTGGGGCACAGGGGGAGGCATGTCAGTTCTTGCTCTCAGTGCCCACATAGCAGATCCAGACCCCAGGCTCTGAGCCCCACGGCAAGGAGCACGGTGGCCTGGGAGTGCCACCTCTGGTGGAGCCCCCACAACCCAAATGCTGGATGTCCGCCCCGAGAAGGCTCATGTGGGATACGGATGGGGGCAGGCAAACCTGGGGGTAGGGTCCCTCTTCTTCAGGGCTCCGGGTCATCCCTTTTGAAAAGGGCCCAGCCCACTTAGCCCAAAAGCAGAGCTCCAAGCCACCTTCTGTATGTAATCTCCCGTCTCCCACCCGCTCCTCAGCCCAGGCCTTATCTCCCAGGCCCGAGCTGCTGCTCAGAGCAGCCAAATCCCTTTCCCGCGCTTGGCACTATCACCCTGCAACCTCCCGAGGTGGCTGGTTGGGTGGGGGCGATGGGGCGGGCCTGGGGGGATGGAGAGAATATGGACCTTCCTTGCCCCGAGCCCTTAGGATACACACACACACACACACACACACACACACACACACACACACA